TGATATTCGTATTGTGAGAGTTTTTCCTGGGTTTACTTAATGTGGCAGTGGACGAGGAGTGTTTCTATTGATAATGAGGAGAAAGAGGACGCCGGATACCGACTACTTTTAAGAGAGCAAAGCCAAATTTTATAAGATTCTCAATTGAGCCTTCAGATTATTTCATGATATAAAATAATCATAAAATAAGGGAAGAACGTTGAAATTTTTTAAGCCCTTGACTAATAATCACTCAACTTCTTACTTTACTAGTTAAATTAAATAATAATTTAACTAGTAATCACCTGGGAAGTGCTGAGTGTATATTCAGGACCTCCTGTGATTTCTTTCAAATTCAGACAATGGAGTTTCTTTGAAGGACCTTTCAAAGGCCATGCTCCTAACGGAGAAAAGGTTGAGTTCTATGGCTCAGGAGTCCTCAACGTATGCTGTACAAAAATTCAAAACATCACGATGAACCAGTAGCTTTCAACTATTATCCCAACTTGCCTACTTGCTATGATTTGATTGGAAAATAATTAATGAACACGTTAATCAAGCTCATCAGGTAAATCTTTTTGTTCAAGTAATCGCACCTGGCAGCTAAATTAGTGATTTCATTTTGGACATGAAAGGAAAAACTGAGATACCTCAGAACATACATAAATTACAGGAACAACTTCATTGGAAAAATATATATATATTCTGTAAGAAAAGTAAACGGGGTTAATTATGCTGGTGATCATTCACAACAGGTGGATGAATCTATGAGGGCAGAAGATGTAGAAATTTACTATGACCCAGCAGAGTTAATTGGAGGGCTACTGATCTCACCATCCCAATCAGAACCAGAAGACAACACTGTCAACACTGCAACAGCAACACATGGCTGCCCATTTTCTAAAAAAAAGTAACTGGACATGTGAAGACATTGTGCTACTGCTAGCTATTGTTTTGTTACTCTTGTTTGTACGATGAATCAATCCACTTGTTTGCTTTTATTACCATTTTATCTATCTAAGGTACAATGTCTATTCTCGTGTGATCATGATGTAAGAATCTAAAATAAATCATCACGTAACCCCTTGTTAATTTTTTTTATCAGCAGATCGGATCAAAGCCCTCTATCTAGATCACTTCCAGAGATGACTTCAAGTTTCTTATGAAAAAATAAGTATAAAATATCTCTATATACGTAATTCAACTATAGCATAAATTAGATTTAATCAAAGCTCGTTATTTTTTTTTTTTGGTGAAATCAAGAATAGATATATAATAAAGAAAGAAAACCTAATAAGTATATGCAGAACTTTAGCTAAATAGATTGTAGCCTAGGCCTTATTACAAGAAAAAAATAAAGACCCTGTTATTAAACAAACAATACAAAACTATATGAAACCAGAACTTAAATAAACCAAGCTGAAATGCATTCGTGATTCCTGTACAGATCAACACTTGAATACCAAAAAGAAGAGTTCAGATTCCTTATCCACCCTGCAACAAAGTGAAACAAAAGCCATAAGATATCTTCCTAGATTGGCTGTTTTTCCTCAAATATCAAGGTGTTCCTCGCATTCCATATAATCTAGATACTAATAAACGTAAAGCCCCACAAACAAATTTTTCAAATTTACAGTGGTTACCCTGCAAAAGACCTAGCCATTGACATTAAAGGTCATCAAAAACATACAGCATTACCCAGCTCAGTTTCTAAATTTTGTTCTATAGTTTCCAAATAATGAGGCAATGCATGAGGATGTGGGAGACAGTTTCTAAATGTTGCTCACAAAAAAGACATCAGTTGTACTAAGGGCTTAGAAGGTGTCTTTTCACTAGGAAGGCTCTTATGCAAAGGCCTTTATTTAAGACCAGCCATAAAGTCATTTCTATTTTTGAAAGGCACATGGATTTCCAAACATCTGTGATATAAGTTGTAGACCTAGCATACCTGATCATTTCAAGGGCAAACATACAAGAGTTTACAATATAGCCTTCATCCTTCCCCCATTCCCAAATCAGCCTGTCTTCTTTCAATGAATGAATAACTGCAAGATTAAGATCAGACAATAACCTTTGAAATAATAGGTTCTCACTAGTTCTAAGGGGCCATCTCCATTTCAAATTCTAATGCCAAGTATTTTCTATCTAGTATCCCATCTGACTAATAATCCTTACTTTGGAGGAGGACAGACAAAAGAGAGTCGAATAAGAGTTAGCTAAACAAAAACCGGTCAACCAAATATCTGACCAAAAATTAACATGGTTACTATTACCCATTTTAAGTTTACAGGCAACTTGAATAAAAAAGCTATCAAGATCCGTACTAGTAATGGTAAAGCTAATTCCTTGCTAGATCCCTGAAAGTTTTTTCATGAATTTAGGCATTCCGTTTTTGAACTGAGGATTATATTTTTCCTTAATGAAGTCACCCAACTAGCTTTGTTATTGCTTCCTAATTTTTATAATTCACTTGAAAATAAGAGCTTTATTTTTTGCCGATATATTCCCAACACCCGGATCGCCCCTATCTTTTTCTTTTGCCACTATATCCCAAGCAAGCCTATGAGTTTTCCTGTTATCAACACTCTTACCCCATAAAAACCAAGACTACATCGTTGTGATCTTAGAAGCCACTATCTTTGGAATGCAGAAGATGGACATGTAATAAAAAAAGAATAGCAGAGATTACACTTTTGATCAAAATTGCTCTCCCCACCATCGATAATAGCCACCCCTTCCAAGAATTGAGCCGCCCTCTAATAAGTGAGAGAACAGGTTTCCATATGGAAATCCTTTTAGGATTAGCACCTAGAGTGTTCCCCAAGTATTTGATTAAAAGAGTATCACTTCTGCACCTAAGAACACTAGAAATCCCTTCAGTATATATCTGACACAACCAAAAGATTGTTGTCTTCTCCCAAGTGCAGGAGTGTCGAAGTAATAAATAACCCGGCAAGACTGGGGTCGAACCACAGGGAGGTTAATTATACAAATTATAAACAACAATTATAAACAACAACAATAG